CATAACCTACATCTTTACGAAGAATAATGCTTTCGCAACCTTCATTAATCCCCTCTTCTATAAATTTCTCTAATACATTTTCATTCTTGATTTTATGTTGATCAACTAAACTAATTTTTTCAAATTCTTTGTTTTTCTTTGCTTTGCAAAATAGTTTCTTTGTAAATTCATATCTTTCCCCAAAAGATCTATAACCTTTCCTATCTAAAAATTCTTTTTTAGTCAAACAATCAAAAATGAAATATTTCACATCTTTAAATTGTAATTCATCAGCATCCCCAACATCACCATTATTAGTATTGTTAATGTTACATCTATCTGATAGTTCACCATCTAATACTATTCCATCAGACCATTCATCAGTAGAAAAATATTTTTTATTTTTTTCATAAAGATTCTTGACCGCTTCTTCAACCTGACCTAAATTATCAAATGGTTTTCCATTTTTTGAATAAGAAATCACGGATTTTCCATTTGATGATATTTTAGTTATACATCTTATACCATCCAAACTCTTTGATGCGTACCAATCAATTTCATCTTTAAATATTTTTTTTAAATTTTGAATGTTCCTTGCTTGAGGTAATGCAACTTGAAACGTGATAAATTCTTCTTCCAAAAAAAGTCTATTCAGAATAGTTTTATTCAATCCTACTTTAAGATTTTTGTCTATTATCTTGAACATCAAATCTTTGTTTTCTTGCTCTTTACAAACCTTGTGGAGAAAATGGCAAATTGCAAAAATAGCCCTTGATCCGGTTATCTCTCTTTCATTTAAAGCATCTAAAAGACTGATAACATCTTGATAAGTTTTGATATTTTGAAATTTTTCATTTGGTTTTAGAAAAAAATCTGGTGATTTTTCTTCCATGAAACTTCTGATGCTTTTAGATGTAACGTTAAATCTTGCAGGTCCATAGATCCTATAAAGAATCGGTAGGCAATTGGAATACTCGTTACAGATGAGCCTTTTTTCTTTTACATGATTTGCTCTTGAGAGTCTCTCAATAAACTCCTTTAAGGTATTTAATTCTAGATTTTTTTGTGATGATGATGATGATGATGATGATGATGATGATGATATTCCTGGATGTCCTTTATATTTTATTTGTCCAATAATTTTTCGTGTTAAAGTAAAATTTGAATAGTTTTGTTTCATATAATTTGTAAAATGATTATTATTCCTCATTGTAATAATAATATTGTAACAATAACTGCGTAGAAATACATTTTGTCGATTTTCTTTTTAATATATATAATAATAATTTAATCATTAAAAAAATTTTTTTATTTATTTTTAAGAATCATCACTATCATGTTCTATTTATATATTGGAAAAAAAATTTTTTTTTTACGACAATCATATTAATATTAATATTGCCCGAAGAAATCAAAGCATTCACATACTAGAAACAATTAACCAATTAAAATCAAGAATTCAAAATTTTTATAGATAAACTCACGCCAAACTTATTCCTGGTCTTGACTTTTTTATCTGGCTTAATTTCAATTGGTTTTGCTTTTTTTATTTATCCTGGCTAGCATTTTTGAGCATTCAGACTTTTCTTAATTTAGCTATGACTCTTGGGACTATAAGAGCCACCTATATTATTTTCTCTGCTAATTCAAACATGAATTTTCATATTCTCATCCATTCGTCCGCCTACCTTTATACTTTGTCATTAATTTTTTTTATAAGACTTCTTTCTCTCAACCATATCTAATAAATATGCATGATTTATATGACTCTTTATGGAAAATTGAGAAATAATTACTGGGAGCTTCCCCTTTTACTTTTGTTATGGCTATTGGTCTAGACTATTCTATATAAAAATATTAATTTGAACCCTAAGAATTATAGAGCCATCAGAAACATCTACAAATCCTATATGTTTTTAAATGGCTGATACTAAGGCTATTAAGAAAGAATTACATATGATATTTACGAATAAACCGAAATATTAGAATAATATGACTTCTCATTGAAATAAACCAAGACCTATTTCCATCTCATCCTGTTCACAAATTTATCCAAAATTTTATGATAGTTGATGTCGTTATTATTTGTATATATTTTTTGTTATTGGTGTATTCTTATAAATTAAATTTTTAAAAAATAAATTAATCCTTGAAATCCGAGATAAAAGAAAAGAATTTATAATCATTTAAATCGTTTCTTTTGAAAAAGCAAGGTCGAATCGACTTCCTAAATATAACGAACATGATGCGATAGAAATTCATTAGAATTGCATCTGGAGGTTTTTTAAAAAATCGATGTCAGTAGGATTTTTCCGAAAGATATATAGAATATTTAGTGTATTGGCGGGAAGAATAGTTCTATTAAATATGACATTTAAACTATGTTCAATATATTGTTAGGTTTTGCAAACATTTTTTTTTTTTAAGGAACCTTACGACTTCGATTATAATTTTATTTTATTTTAATGTATCTTTTATCTTTTTCATTATCTTATTTCATTTTTTTATTTTCCCTTTCAAAAATGGTTCTTTAAAGTTCAATTAGTATATCCTTTTTTTACTTGGATAATTTAAGAGTACGAATTATAAATATGTTAAATAACAACATCACCAACTGCTTACATTTTTTTGATAAAGAAAATCCGTTAACAAAAATTTAGAGTTCAAATCAAAAGATACCGAGTCTACAAGAACGAAGAACAACGGTCATCGAATTGGAACAAGTGCCTCAAGAAACGAACGATCAAGCATTCAGAAAGTGCACTCAACAACTTTACGATAATCATCGTAATTATTGTTTAATGGATAGATCTGAGGAGTATTAGTATATATGGGATTCTATGTTTTCATAGAAAGTGAAAAATTAGATATAATTTTTAACACTTTATAACCAACTAGCTTTTTGAAAAAATGGTAGTAGCATCATTGCTAAAATAAATTTTATCATGAAAAAAGTTTCAAAGTGTTACAAAAAGTTGCATTAAAGTAACTGCCACCACTTAAAAAAATGTTTATAAGATTGTATGGCCATTACTACTCCTCACGAGCTTCGGGGTGTATTCCAGGCAAGTTTTTATAGTTTTTAAACGAGTAAAATGAAAAGTTTTCTAAAAGAGCACAATAACAGTCTTGGAATATGGGTGCCATGAATGATGAACCACGGATTGATTTTCAATGAAAAGAAGTCAGGTGTATCAGTCAACCAATAAATCTGAAATCTAATGATCTTCCAAAATAAAAATTTTATAAATGTTGCATAGTTCTTATTGTAACTAATGGATTTAGTCAATATTGAAGGTCAAAGAATATTATTTGAAGAGTTGAATGATTATCAAATATGTAATTTTATTATTATAACTCTGTTCTTCTTTCTTACTCTTCCTCCATCTTGTTATTTTATTTTCATTAATAAGCAACTAATTAAATAATGTCCATGAAAAGTTTTTACTGAAATATTAAAAAAATGTTCAAGTAAATGGTTAATCATGGTAAATCAAACGTTATAAATTTTTATTTATTTGTTTATGATGATTTTAAAAAAATATCATTATTAAAAAAAAAAGTTTTATTACATTTTACCACATTCTATTCTCAAAGAATTTTCAATATTTTATTTTCAATTGATTTAGAAATTTAGAAAATCAGAAAATTCAAATAAATAACAATATATTTTACTACTTTTTTTTTTAATATATCATCATCAACCATCACTCCTACTACTAATAGAAAAAGAACAACATTAATATGCTAGGATAGAGGCTAAAAAAATAGAAGAGATCCTAAAGAACCTAAAACGTCACCAAATGCATATATCCGTTTCTCCATATGGCTATGTATTGATTGATGGATTGTATGGTTGGAATATTGAAGGAAATAAAATCAATAACCTAGAAATTAATTAAGCAGATGAAAGGAAGGTAATTATTAATTAATATATAATGCAAACACCTATTATTATCTATTTATTTAGTCATATCTCTAGATGGGTAAGCAGGCTGATATGGCATGCCAGAATGGATAAAAGCCATATTAATTTCCAATGTTATATTGGTAAAATTATGATATTTTCATGGTGTACTTAATTTTTATTATGATGTACATTATTATCACCTGATTTAATGTATATCAAGTGATCCAGAATATTGTTTTTCTATATTCATATTAATATTATTCTTGTTTTTTCTATGCTTGTATAGATGGATGAATTCTTAAAGGACTGCAAACTCGGGAAAACTTTGACCACATCATCTTAGGATTAAATGCAGAAGAGGAGAGGCGAAGAATCAAAAAGACGAATACATGGATATCATAATAAACCAAAAAAAAATAATCAATATTTTGTTGAGATCCTTACTTATATGTAACTAGTATTCAAAAATCAGTAGTAGCAGGATTTGATATTTTTTCTTCTTACCAGTAAAAATAACTTTACAGAATTTTAAAATTGATATTTGCCATGCAACATCCAATTCATCTTGATGCATCCTAAATAGTCTATTTAAGATGTACACTAGATTGAGGCCTTTATATTCGACTCTCATTGGAGCTTCAAGTCGGACTGAACTATTTATGGAAAATAAGTATATAATAGTATGAAAAATTGGTTAATGTTGATATAAAAAAATATTTACAAATGTGTTAGAATTTGCTGGGCTATATCAAGTGCTTCATAGTAACAAGGATTGAATCTTCCAAGAACATAGGACTTGCGAACTAGAGTTGGAATTTTAGCTCGGGTACATGCATCCTCAGTAAATTGTTCAATGTATTGTACAAATTCGGAGGTTTGTTTCCAATTTTTCTTCGCAATTACTTTTTCAAGCCAATTGAGTTGATCTATATTAAGGATCTTTTTAACTATCTTATACACTTCTTCGTCAGAAAGATCTAGTATGCCATTAAGACATGCTGAACTCATGTAATTTGCGCCCAATTTTTTTTCTTGATTTTGGAATTCAACCAAGATATCGAGCAACTTATTGCGAATTTCTACTTCATCCTAAACATTATATAAAAGAAGGTCATAAAAGACACAATACCTGAGAGAGATCTTCAATTTCCTTCGAATCTTGCACCATCTCAATAACTTCCATCTCAATCTCTTCTGAGTTATGACCTTCGCTTTCATCAGTTTCTACCTATACACATAGGAAAATTTGAGTTGATATTTTTGTGTGCTAAACATTATCTTCGAATTGTATTTTCACATAAAATTACCGTTCAGTTATGAACTTAATTCTTGGTTTTAATAGTAATTCCTCATCATTTGCATTACCAATCCATTCACCTTGGTTCTTTTAGAATCAGTTGAAAGAACATCAGTCATCAATTTCGAGGGATGCTTTCCATAATGGGTAGTAGTATCTGCAACGTCATTATTACCAGCATTATCAAGACTCTTTTTTCCATTTGGTAATAAAATTATGTTTATATGCAATATATTTAGTAAATTTATTTATGATACTTTCTTAGAATTGAGAAACTCACCCTTTTTCGTAATTGATCTTCATACGAGACTTTTGAAATAATTACGTCTGTGTTATGTTTAGCCGTTATGTCCAATATCTTTAAGCTACCAGATATATGAGTATTTATTACAGAAATCTACATAACATAATGAACGATTAAATATAATGATAAGAAAGCAAGCAAGTGAAATAAAATTGTGATCAATCTTGACTTACTCGTTCTTTTTCATTGATAATATTTTGCCAATAATTCATTAAAGACCTATTTAAAGTTTCTGATTTCACCTATGGAAAAAATAAATAATTAATAAAAATGCTTTCGTGAATACCACAAAGCCAAAGAAAAAAGCAAGTCGCAATAGTGGCGCCTAACATGATAATTAGATACTACAAAGTCAACATGATAATTGACCCAGAGCGCAACCGCCATCACTTGGGGCAGCCGATCACTGACCAAGAGCTCCCTTTGTTTATATTTTTAGAAAAAAAAGAGAATACAGACCTTTTCATATATATTATTGTATTTTTCAGGAATAATATCTTTTATATTTCTTAAGAATCTTGTTTTCCATGCCACTTCTAAGCTGCACCAGTTATCAGTATCGGGTGGAGATTCTATAATCATTTCCTGGTATAGATCTATGAACTCTCTAAATGAACAATGCTCATTACGCTTTCTTATATAAGAACAAATAGCTAAAGAGATGTTTGGTTAGTAAATAGCCAAAAGAAAATGTTGGGTAAGTTGAACCACTGTACAATTAGAACTTACACGTATAACCGTGATAATATTCTTCTGACATTTGAAGAGTTCTATGTTATTTAAGACTTCTTTTTTATTGATTTATAGGTTAAAGTTAGTTATTACAAGATTATTGTCATTATAAATCGATGATGATTTATGATATAGAAAGTCCGCGATGATCTGATTACCAAATTCCGATTAATTACCTCAAAAATGCATTTTATAGAACAAAAACATTTGATTGGTTGCACATGACATTAAAATTCAAAAATGAAATTTATTAAATAATAAACAATTCAACAAATTCCTTATTTGCCTTATCTGTATATCCTTAACTGCATTTCTCCTTATTAATGAAAGTAATTTATAGAACTCAAAAACAAAGAACAATAAAAACAACCTTGTTTAAACAACAACGCATAATCAATCAAAGATCCTTTTAAATTCACATGAAAGTCACGGGCATGCGTTTATAGAGGGATGAATGTGACTGGAAAATTGCCGTGCATAGAGGGTGTGCATTTATCTCTAAGTCCCAAGGTTAGGACCAAGACATAGCATGCACTTATGGAGGGTGCACTTATGGAGGCCAGACTGTACATGAATCAATTCGCTTTTACGTTTTCTATTTTCCAGAAATCCATTATTCCAGATTTCGAAATACCTAAATGAAATCAGAAAAAGAAATGCAAAAACCGTTTAAAAAGGCAATATATCAAATTTATTGTTATTTATCACTTTATAGTGATTCTGTTTTATTGTGTTTTTCTACTTTTTTCCTACGTTTTTAAAAATCTAAAATTTTCAACATGGCAAAATTAGTAGCAAAAAAATCGAATCTCTTTTATCAGAAGCCCTTTGGAGACTGTTTGCAGTGCCTCTATTTTTTATTAACAATGAACAATGATAAAGTGGGCGAATATAATACCCAAATTTCATCCCTTTTTAGTTGGAAAATACTAAATTTATTAACATTCACAAGAGAAATAAAATATAATTGAAAAACTTGCAACAATTTTTATAAATTTTATTGGCTAATGTTTTTTTTTCACACAGGAATTATAATACACAAATGTAATGCAATTATTGGTTATTTAACTCTTTCTTTTTCAAATCCCTTCTTTTTTGATTATAATTATAATTAATAATTACTCAGGAATTTAATTAGTTAACATCCTGGAAATTTAATTAGTTATCACTTCGGAAATTTACGCCATTACTATTATAATTATATATACATTTATTATTTACATTTGTTTTTTTTTTTCTAAATTCTTCATGGTTTTGGAATAAAGTTCTTTTACTGGTTATGATTTTTTTTTTCTTGGTAAATTTCATAGGTAATTCTTTCTTTTTTTAGACAAGTTTCTAGTGTCTGTCATTTATTTTAAAAACATACGGAGCAATTTTTTCACCTTGTTCTTTCTTCAAAATACTTCTAATGGTGCTATAGTTGGCTTGGTCTAAAGACCTCCTAAATTTTTAAAGTATAGAAGTCACTTTCTGTCCTATCTTTTAAAAAAATAGAATTATTAGTTGATAGAATAGGTCTTTAGTTTTAATGTAATAATGAGATATTTTCGAAAAAATTATTTGTTGTAGAGTTCTATTCTTTTTTAGAACATGTACTTTACTATGTTCACGAGGAATTTGGCCGCTAGGATCATTACTAAATTTAAACCAAACACAAAATAATTTCTAAATTTCGACTAGCACATGACCATCATATCTAAATTTGGCAGTACGAAATAATTTTTAAACCCAAAATCATGTGAAGTCTTATTTTCGAAAATTTTAAAAACGAATTACAAAAATTGCTATTTTTGAAATTTGGCCATGTGATGCAGAAATAGGAGGTCTTTAGACTGAGCCAACAATATAATTGTTGGGTTCCATGTATACATGAAGTCGAAACTATTTTGACTATTTGCAGATCTGGTCAAAATAGGGTCAAAATAAGGTCGAAACTGATTTTTACTATATAGTTGCCTCAAGTCAAAAAATTTCGACTTTGGGGTTTTAATTTCGACTTCATGTATAGTTCCATGGTAGACCTAATGTAAATTAGATTCATATTAACTATTTTTATATAGGGGCAATTCTATATATCACTTAAGATAGTAAATGGGATATTATAAAACTGTTAAGTATATAATCACATTATATACAAATGACTAAATTTTGAACCCTGAAATTCTTGGTAATACCAATGTTCGCTTTGTCTGGTTTTGTTGCAGTATACCCCATTTAAAAACCATTAATTAATTGTAAATTAATTATATCAAATTATTTACCTCATTTAAAAACTCATCAGAAATAATTTGAGAGTTTTTAACCTTTTTAATGCTACAATACCATTACTAAGATCATATGGGGCATACTGCAACAAAACTAGACAAAGTGAACATTGGTGTTACCAAGGATTTCAGGGATCAATAGTGTTTTTAACATCACAATTGTGTTACCAATGTAATGTGATCACAATATTCATCTAGACAAAAATAGTTAAGTGCCAGATCAGATAACAATTAGAGAATTTATATATGACAAATAGGGCTAATTTATATATCAGTCGCAGGATATTGCAGATCAAGTGTCATTTGATATAACCATTAATTGAGAATTGCTATTTCTCACTGGTGGTGATTGTCACCACCTAAGGAATTAAATTTGCGTGGGGCGGAGTTAGGGTTGGGTTTAATCATAAATTGTATAATTCCTTAGGTGGTGACAATCACCACCGGTGAGAAATAGCAATTCCCATAAAAATTTTGTCACCAACTTCAAAAAAAAATTTTTCCACATTTTTCACACTGCAAGCAATTATCCAACCTAACAAAAAGTATAAAGACAGACTAGAACTTTCTAGCAACTATTAAAAGAAGAGTCTAGCTTAATTATTGGCTATTCTATGCCAGGTCAGAAGTGTTTCCTTTTGTCACATTTACTTTAAGATTTTCTTCCAACTATCAAGTGGAATAAAGCAAACTCAACAGTAACAGTTGTGCCAAAGTATTCCTTACGAAGTCACTTATAACTACTTGGAAAGTTGTATTGGAGAAATTTTGACTTTTATTATAAGAAACTGATTTATGATTATTTATATGATTATTATTTTTAGAATTACATGAACCAAATTTCAAAAATAATATTAAAGGTTAAGTAAATAATGAATCTAAAATTTATTATCTATTAATGTGTAAAAAATAAATTATCATTATAACCCAATATTAATATTATTTACAATGATGTTCAATTGTTAGAAGTTGTCAAGCCCAAGAAATTGCAAATGTCATTTAATCTTAATATACAGTGTGGAACATTCAATTCCGGAATTAAAAAATTATTCATTACTTCACAACCAATGATCAAAAACATGTGTAATTTTAATATATGAAAGTTGGAAAACAAATGTAAATTCTTTATTATTATAATTTTTTTTAATAAGGGATGTGTTCCCCATTTTTTTCAATTACAAGTTCACAGCGCCTTTTCATAGAATCCACTAAATTACTAAGAGTGGAATTTGGAATTTTTTCCCATTCCTCCTTCATAAATTTTTTTAATTCAGTCTGGTCTTTTGGCATCCGTTTCTCAACGTTAGTCTTAACAATACTCCAAAGGTTTTAAATTGGATTCAAGTCAGGACTATTAGAAGGCCAGTCCATAACTTGTGGCACATTCTCAGCAAGAAATTCTTTAGCAAGTTTACTTGTATGTTTTGGGTCATTGTCTTGCTGGAACTGCCATCTACTCCCCAAAACCTTTTTAACCTCAGGAATATGGTCACAAAGGATATTCACATAAAATTGAGCATCCATAATCTGGGAAAAACAAAATAAACTTGTTTTTCCATTTTTGTAAAATCCACCCCAAGCAAAAATCTTTGTATGATCTTTAGGAATGTGACGAATGGGCCGTTCTCCTTTCTTATGTCAATGTTCTACTGTGTTTTGGAAGAGCTGAAAGGCAGTCTCATCCATAAACAAAGTCCTTTCCCAATTTTCATTGAGATGTTTATTTGCCCATTCCACCGGTTTTTGTTTATGAGCAGTGGTAAGCATTGGGGTCGCAGTAGGAAGATTTTTTTCATACCCCATATTAGCCAAGTGCCTTCCTACAGTAACATGTGATACCTCCACACCTGTTTGAGACAGTTTTGTGGCCAATGTCCTAGTTGAAAGTGAAGAATCCTGGTGAATGTATTTCCTTAAATGACGTAATGCACTATTTGACATTTTCCAGGGTTGAACATTACCACTAGCATGTTTTGTAGTACCAGTCTTTTTTAATTTTTTTATATTGTGAGATTGTAAACCGTGGACCAACCAATTAGAACGAACTTACTACGGAAGTCATGTGATGCGCTAAATATTACATCACGATTAACAATCATCTTTCTATATTTATTGCAACGGTTGCACGTCATGTTACACATGTAGATCATTACATCATTTCTATTTTT